TTTTTTTTTTTTCCAGTGGCCCTAATCCTCTTCCATAGAAAAGAGCAAAGATATTCTCTAAACCTTTTCTGAATTGTGTTTCTTTCAAATGTCCAAATTGCGAACTTTCCAGCAATAAATGAACAGAATTCCCTTCATAAAGCCTTTAGTTAGTGTCTAGTGTTGCTTCACACCAAGGTTTTCATTTGGACCTGATGCCTGGGGACTCTGTCACCCCTGATCCCTCCATGGCGCTCCATCTTTGGGTTACACTGAGAACCTTTAGAGAACCCTTGCCATGGAGAGTTGCTCTGATTAAGGACCTGCAAGCGTTCCAATGACAGGGACAGACAGTAGACACTAACTAGAGGCAGCCGACCTGAGGGAGGGTGACGGTAAACGATGTCTTATCATTTCAGGGACAATGGCTCCATCTAGTGACACCAGGCGGGACGTTCTCATCGGAGCACAAGGAAAGCGGTTTCCCTGAGAGAAGGCTGGAAGGTTTGGTTCTAGGATTCCAGGTTTACAGGTGATTGCATCAGAACTTGGTTTGCTGAAGAGTGAGGAGGCAGCAGGTCCGTCCCCCACCGCCCTCTGACGGTTCCCTGCTGCACCAACCTTTGGTTGATCTCTAAGACCAACCCTGTCCGTGTGCCGCGTCCTCGGAGGCAGCCATCTTCAGGGAGAGAAGACTCTACCTCCTGCTGCTCTTTGATTGGACGCCATGCTGCAAAGAGCAAGCATCTTATTGGTTGACTTTATTCCAGCTAAGAGCATATTCAGTTAATGTTTGAATGAAACGAGTTTTCCTCCTGAGTTTCCTGCAGTTTGGTTTCAGATCAGAGTAGAAGGACCTGCAGATCTATTCAGATCAAAACTTTTCTCAACCATCAAAGCTGTTCAAAGGTTAAACTAGACCAACATCCAACTGCAACATACACATCAGAAATGACCGTCTGCGCAGCTGCAAAGGAAACCTGGATGCAGTACTTCAGCTATGGTAGTCTGCATGCTGCTGATAAGCTGATCCACTGTGGCCCGCTTATAGAAAAGGAGAGAAAGGCAGGGAACAAGTAGCATCATTTAGACAATCTAAACACTGAATTTCAGGTTTTTATAACACAGTTCACTCCTTCAAAAACAGTAAACATGCAGAGTAAAATAAAGTAAGGAGAGCAGAGAAAACTGCTGCATCTGATCTGAGACAGATCTATAGATCTAGAAAAAGATGCCTGAGGCCGGAAAGAGTCATAGAACATGAAGCCCTCCTTCCACCAACCAACCAAAACACCATCAGTGGTGAAATATTAAATCACGATTTCTGATCAAACACTTCAACAGCTCTGAGATGGAACCAGTTCCTGTGGCCAATAGGAGGATTTTCACTTTCTAACAATCCCAGAAAGTCAGTCAGAGATTATCTGGTTTCCTAAAAGCTCCTAATTGCTCAGTTTAACAGCTAACAAGAGGAACGGGGATAAAGAGCCAAACATCAATCAACAGCAGTTTTTTTTTTTTTAGGAAATAACTGCATGAAATCCAGGTTTTTAGCTAGCAATGCTACGGCCTTTACTAAAAACAGGACCAATTAATCGCCCTGTTTTACCCCAGAAACTTCCCTCAAATGTTCATAATAAAAGTCTGATGAAATCCCAGAGAGATCTGAGCATCTTCTGACTATTTAGCTTCATATTCCTGTAAATGAGCTGCAGCTGTGGAGATGGGAAGTAGAAGGAGGAACAAAATGCCAAAGCCAACGTATGAAAATAGAAATATGAATAAATCTGCATTCAGACTGAGGCGGTGATTTCCTCCAGCAGGTAGTTCCTCGCTCTGTGTTTCAGATGCAGAGTTTACACCCTGGACAGACATCAAGTAGGAGGAGTTTCAGCTGCGTGAAGCTGTAAGCTCACTGACATGACAAACACTCAGCAGATAGACTGAAAGGTTAGAGCTTCATTAAAGAGAATACAAAAATCATTTCTGAAAAAGGCCCAAAGCTCTGAAAAAAAGATCCACTTTGGTTAATCCAGACGCAGCTCGGATTCAGTGGTTCTTCCTTGTAAATCTCCCCCCTCAGAAAGCCCCGATGGTGGGCAGTGGGCAGCGACAGACTGCGCTCTGTGCTGGAGGTGAGGGAGGATGATCAACAGGCCTTCTACGACTAAAGTTACATCACTAGGATCTGAATCAGCTGTAAAAATAAAGTCAGCTCTAATGTGATCTACCTGCTCACACTGTATGTCTAAAAACCACATGTCAGACTCAGCGCCAAGAGATGGAGCTGATCGGACCCCACAATCTGGAAGAAGAAGAACTCCCTTGTTCATGCCCATGCTCAGAGCTAAGGTTCTGGTAAATCAGCTCATAGCTCAGCTTCAACAGCAGGATTTACCTAACAACACCTGAATTTCAAACATGTTTGATTTTCTGCCGACCTCACGATTCCTGATGGGGAGGTGGTCGTTAGAGGCTGATCACTCCTCGTTACCCCCTGTACACTACACCAAAAAATTTGAATCGGCCTGAAAAGGACAAAAAATCGTACAATGTATGCCCAACTTAAAGTGTCAGCTAAAGGCCTGTTTTAGAGTCTCTATACTGCAGTTAACAATTAACTGATTACTAAATTAGTTGATTATTTCAATAATCAATTAATCCAATTAATTGTTTCAGCCCTAAACACAATATATTCATACATAAATAGACCAAAGACAGAAGAGTCTGGAATATAATCCAGGTTTTTAGAGTAGTTTGAAAACACAGCATTAATGATTAAAGCTGCAGGGTGAAGCCGAAGTTACTGATTAGTCAGCATGATGATGGCGTCTATGACCCCACTCAGGGTTTATGGCTTCCTCATTCATCTGGCCTGACAGGAACCTGTTGCAGGGGCGGAAATATTCCACTATCAAACCGACAAAACAAAATGGAGGCCCCTGTTTTTAAAGAGACATTGGCACTAAGCTTTGATTTACTCTCATGAAGGTCTGCCTCTGTAACAGGAAACTACGGCAGCCTGGATGGATCGCCTTACATGCTGAGTGACGGAACATGTAAATACAGGCAAAGTTAAACCAAAGTCTGTGTTTATAAGATGAACTTTAATGGCCTCCCTCTATGGTTTATGACCATAGCAGGTATGTGAGTATTTGAAGAGTTTCAGTCTGGCTTTAGAGCTCATCATAGCACTGAAACAGCTCTGGTGAAAGTCACTAATGATATTCTCATGGCCTCAGATAATGGACTTGTATCTGTGCTCGTCCTGTTGGATCTCAGTGCTGCATTTGATACAGTTGATAGTTGCTATTTTTTGGGTCTCAGTTTTTCAGCCATGATCCACATCTCCTATACCCACCCTACTATGGGC